ATTTTGCCTCGGATGTACATAGTGGAAGATTACGAATTCCTGAAGATTTATAGTGATGGAACGATGGTTTTCTTACTCGTAGGCGCTGCATCATCCATGCTCTATGTAATCTTCCGTTTTGTTCCAGTGTTGGACTTCGGAACGTCCTTAGGTTTTCAACTCGTGTTGGTCGTGTGGTTTATACTCGACCTTCGAAGACTCGACCAAATTCTGGGCAATGATGAAGCTACCCACGGAGTTATCTACGTCTACGTCGATGCTGTGCTGGCTGTCGGGTACGTGGTGATGATCGCTGGTGCGATTAGTACAATGTTATTGTTTATTGCCGGGTTTGTGATGAGCGGTCCTGCTTTCAAGAGCATTAAATCTCGTTGCGCTGGTTTTGGTGGCGGTGGCGGATGTAGCTGTAGTGATTATCCGGCACTACATGTATCCAGCGGCAGCAAGTGCCTATTTTTTAACGAAGAAGGCAGTAGTTTCGACTGTTGTGATTCCACGCCGGATGAAGTGACAACCAATGCTGAGTCGCACACGGGTCCACTTGAGCAGCATCGAACCTGACCAAGTTATGCAACGTGTTTGAGATAAAGTCATTGTTTCTTACCTTAAAGCAGAACGGCGTGTGGAATTGTTGAGAGCCATTGGCCCACGAAAAGAGCACTCTCTAGGGGCAACTGGTACCGCTGATAATGCTATTGGATGGATGGACAGCTTTTTCAAGCAGAATACTCGGCAGTTTGGCGAGTATTTCTCCCTCAAACCACTTCAACTTGCCATAAACAAGAGTCACCTTCGATTCCACAAACAAGCATACAAAATCCTAGTCATGCGTGTTTTCAAGCTGACGTCAACAATTGTTTCCCGAGTATAAATTCTGCATCCTCAGTTCAATTTGTAGTCTACAAGATGCCTCGCAAGTACTTCATCGGTGGCAACTGGAAATGCGTACGTCTCCGATATGCCTATGTCTACCTGTGCTGAATCTCTAACACTGATTTGTCTATTATAAAGAACGGGACTCGCAGCTCTGTCCATGCCCTTGTAGCCATCCTCAATAAGACTGTCGTGGATCCTTCCCAAGTGGATGTGATCGTGGCACCTCCGTCGCTCCACCTGGACCAGGTCCAGCGCCTGCTTCAGCGCAACATCGCTGTCTGCGCGCAGAATGTGAGTCTCACTGGGCTCGGCGCCTTCACGGGGGAGATCGCAGTCGAACAGCTAGTGGATTACGGCATTTCGTGGACCATCACGGGCCACTCAGAGCGCCGCGCGTATTACGGTGAGACGGACGAGGTTGTGGCCAAGAAGACGAAGCGTGCGCTTGATCTCGGTCTCCAGGTCATTTTTTGCATCGGCGAGACGCTGGAACAACGCAAGGCTGGTCAGATGTTGGAGGTGCTGACGAGGCAGACGAAGGCGTTGGCAGCTATCATCAGCGAAAAGGAGTGGGAGCGTCTGGTGGTTGCATATGAGCCTGTGTGGGCCATTGGCACGGGCGTGGTCGCCACCCCTGCGCAGGCACAAGAAGCTCATCAGAAGTTAAGGCAGTGGATTGCCAGCAACGTGTCAACTGACGTGGCGGAGACACTGCGGATCATCTACGGAGGGTCAAGAGTTGATCAAGTTGAAAGATGTCGATGGCTTTTTGGTGGGTGGAGCGTCGCTCAAGCCCGAGTTCGACGCCATCATCAGGAGCGCGCTGTAGGTGGTAAAAGGTTACAGACAGACGCTGCGTTCGAGCTGACAATATAACTAACTACCTCCGCTGTGAGTGCAGTGATGCGACGTTCTTGGGAGCTCGTATTTATAGTGTGCAAGTCAGAACTGTGGTTTCTCTTGAGTCAACAAACAACAGCGTACTAGCACCTCTTCTTCTTGCACAGCAGCGACGATGGAGGGCAAGAAAACGTCAAAGCGACATATCAAGCGTGTCCGGATAAATGTGACCCTGTGCAGGTACGAGGTGGTGCGCCGTGTAGCGCGAGCTCGAGGTTGGAAGCTCGTGACAGACGGCAAACCCGAAGGTAAGCCGTCCGTATGCAATATTCACTGGATCGACGTGCCCGACATCCTCCCGACATTCAAGACACTGCTACCGTATCAGAAGGTGAATCACTTTCCAGGAATGGCCAACCTGGCATGCAAGTCCAAACTAGCACGAAATCTCGAGCGCATGAAGAAACTTTTCCCACTTGAGTATGGCTTCGTTCCTCGGACATGGATCTTGCCGTTCGACCAGTACGATTTCCAGCAGAATTTCAACTCGAAAGGCGAAAGTCAGCGCACGTTCATCGTGAAACCCGACCACATGTGCCAAGGACGTGGCGTGTTTCTCACTCGAACACTCGCACAAATACCACGGGGAGACGTCCTTGTTGCTCAGGAATACGTTGCTCGGCCTCTGCTCATTGACGACAAGAAGTTTGATCTACGCATTTACGTCCTTGTGACTTCATGTTCGCCACTTCGCGTCTACATTTTCAAGGACGGTTTAGTGCGAATATGTACAGCTGACTACGTGGTTCCCAATGCAGAAAACCTTGAGCATCGATTCATGCATCTCACCAACTATGCCGTGAACAAACACTCCAACAACTTTGAAGTGAACAGAGGAGGCGATACTGAAGGCACAGGCAGTAAACGATCTCTCAAATGGTTCTTCACCTGGCTGAGGGAAAAACTACCAAGCGAGAAGGTGGACAAAATCTGGGACCAAATCAGTGATATCTGTCTAAAGACCATCCTATCTGTGCAGCCTACCCTGGCACAGGAATATAGATCGACCTTTGCGAAGTATATGCGCCGCCCCAACTCAGCATCCAGATCTGTCTCTCAGAATAGTGAAATGAGCTTGGGACTCGACAATAAAAAGGCTAGACCTAGTAGTGGTGGCGTAAGCGTTGGTGGCGACACGAGTGCGTCCTCCTCTCCAGCTGGATCATCGACACCGCCTTCTTGCTCTTTTGCCTTGTTGGGCATGGATGTGCTAATCGACGAGCAACTGAAGCCTTGGCTGCTAGAAGTCAACCACTTGCCAAGTTTTGGCTGCGATTCGCAGCTGGATTGGAGCGTGAAGGAACCGCTAATTTCTCAGACTTTCGATCTACTTAATGTCTCTAGCACCGACAAAGAGCGACATGATACTGAGCATGCTCGCGCACTTCAACAGAGGCTTTACGGCGGTATGTCGACTTCTGCTCCAGTAGTTACCTCGACAATTAGTGACAATCAGAAAAGTGAGCTCCCACCTTTGATCCCGCCATCACCACGGACAAGTTCTCCCAAAGCTGCAAACGATGCGGATAAGGGAATTCAGTTGCCATTGAATACCGATCAGCTTCGTGAAGCGCTTTCCAGTTACTATTCCCGTTTCAACTCGGACCGACTGCATCATCTTGACACCATTCTGAACAAATACGTTGACAATCAGGAGGAACTGAATCGCAGTCTCCAGCTAAAGTATGGTAAAAGCATCTTCGCCTTCGCCCCTGTACCCAACAATGGTCAACCACAAGATGAAGACTCCGAAAAAGTACTCGACCAAGAACCACTGATTGACTTTGTTCGAATATATCCTCCTTCCAGCTCACAGCAAGATTCAAAGTATCGCAAAATGTTGGATGCGTCCCAGAAGCATATAGACGAACTACAATTGCGATTCACGGCCCCACTTCAGCATCGTCGACCAGAAACAGACAGCAATGGAGTGGTACTCCCACCGCTGAATGGTGCCCTGAAAAAAGAGCAACTTGGTCGAGACTGCTTCGGGTTTTCCGGAACGGACAAAGCGTTGCTGTTGACATCTGCTGAAAAGAAACCTTTGGGAGTGCCGGGGCCAATGCAAGTGGCAGCAGCTCATCGAATGATGCTAGGTCACTCCAGCCAGAAGTTATCTATCAAACCTCCCACCCCACCAGAACCTCTTCCTTCGCGTTCGGGTACACCAGTAAGCTACGGGCTTCAGTACCGTGAACGACTCGCAACGATCAAAAACAAGCCGACACTTGCTGTCTCTCAGGTTTCCTTCTGCTTCGACGGGCCGTTTTGATCATTACCCAGCGATAGCAATACTTACATCATGCTACTTCAGGAACGAAGTGACAATCTATTGAACTTCAAAGACAAAGGGCTGATCAGTCAACCTCAATAATCTCAGGCGACCGCTTTCTCTTCTTCAGCGACTTATTAGAGCCCGCACTCTCCGAACCCTTGGTCACGATAAGATACCGCGGAAGTTGAACCTGAAATCTGTCCTTCTTCAGGTGTTGCGCTTGAGGACCTGAAACCAAATAGCAGATCGTGCTGTACGCTGTGTAGCCGATCTCGGGTTGAAGAACGTTGCTATCGTACGGCCAGCAAAAGTTAGACATTGCACTGCATGACATTGATCATTCAAGGTAGATGCTTACCTCAGCAGCAGTTTGACAACAAGAGTATCACATTCACCTCGAGACATCGATTTTATGCTCGGGTCCAAGTTTGTCCATTCCTGGGCAAATTTTCTGGACCTGAACTCATCGATAAGCTGCTTCAGCGTGAGACGCCTCTCACTGTACCAAAGTAGAAACAAAGATAAGCTTATCGCGCTACGTCATCTATCAGATTGTCCCCTTACATTTTCTTCGCATCCTCAGTAATTGAGAGGAGAGCTTTCGAGTGTTCCGACAAATCAATTCTGTCTTCCGTGTCAATGTCTCGCTTGCAGTTATCACATCCTCCTCCACATATTGCATCAGACTCAAAAGCCTCTCTGTAAATCAACGAGAGCAAGCATATGCGTAAATGCAAGCGTTTAGACTGCGACAAAACGAATTACGAACCCAAAGTACGCTGCCATGGTAGACTGACGGCATTGTGAAAGCTCCACGCAGTACTTGATCATTGACCGCATGCTAAGAATACCACCCACTTCTGCCTGGACAATGTTGCAAACGCGTGGCACGTCCGACGGTTTATACATCAAAACACACCGGGCTGGCTTTCCATCGCGACCTGCCCGTCCTGATTCTTGGTAGTAACCTTCGATAGACTATACTCCGTACAACGCAAGTGATCATAATAAGCACCAAGGTACTCAACAGAAGAATTCCTTTACGCACCTTGGATAGCGTAAAATGAATCACAAAGCGCACATCTGGCTTGTTGATTCCAAGACCAAATGCAATGGTTGCCACCACAACCTGCAGCTTGTTGCGAATCCAGGCCATGTGAATTTCTTCCTTTTTCTCCACATGTGCATGGTAACATGCGGCCCGAATGTTAGCTTGATGAAGGTGCTGCGCCACCTGTTCAGTTTCTTTTCTTGTTAAGCAGTACACGATTCCGGTATCACTCGACGAAAAGGACTTGACGAGACGGACGAGGCAATCCATAGCTGCAGCATCTTTTGCTGGTTTCTCCTTTACCTGCAACGGGACAGCAACCAACGCTGTCATGCACCTTACAGCGACATTTCTTGTATCGTTCTCACTTACCTCATAGTGCAAATTGCTTCTGAGAAACGATGTCCGAAACGATACACATTGCTGAATCTCGAGAATGGTCTTCACATCCTTCGCCAGGCGTGGTGTGGCCGTTGCTGTCAGTGCCAGAATGGGTACTTTGGGGTACTGGCGCTTTATAATACCGAGCTTTGCGTAGTCCTGCACGTAGAGAAAAGAGTAACGTGAGATAAACCTATCACTGAAGGCCCTAAGTGTAAACGTACACTCCGGAAATCGTGCCCCCATTGGCTGCAGCAGTGAGCCTCATCAATAACAAAGCGCTTGAGTCTCCCAGTCTGGTACGCCTTCTCCAACCTCGACATGAGGAGTTTACTCTTGATGAGTTTCTCTGGTGTGACAAGGAGAATCTTCAGTGTACTGTCAGAGTCCAGCAAGGACTTGTAAATTGCCGCAGCTTCTCCGCGAGATTGCTCTGCAGACAACTGGCGCGCTGACCCTCTCCCGGCAATGTCGTTGAACAGCAGCGCTTGGTCCTGGATGAGTGAGATCAACGGCGAAATAACCACAGTGAAGCCAGAATTCTGCAACGTCATACTGTGCGTCAATTCTGCTACAACTCCACCACTAACAATTCTGTTATTGTACCCCATCAAGCAGCGCAGGTAGCTGGTAGCAGAGACTCTTGCCGCCTCCGGATCGCATGACCACGAACACATCTTGGTTGGATAGTGTCGCGTTGATCACCTCCTCCTGTACCGAGCGAAACCCCGGCAAGTGAAACTACAGCAGCCTGCACTGTTAGCTTCGATTATTATTATTTGTTTGCTTAGTATACATGTATGTACTTACGGTGTCTGTGAGCAGTGTGTGGATCTGCTCGGTCCACTGGAACTGTGCCTTCCACTCTGGTGCAGATTCATCAGTGTTGTTCGCTACTGCTGCTTTGTCTTCAATCTGCTCACACAGTTCCTTCTTCCTTTCGAGTAGCTCACTCTGTCGCAGAAAAAGCACGTTCAAGTCCTCCTCCACCTCTCGCAGTTCCTGCTCAACTTGCGCCAGCTCCGCTGACTCGATCATGATTTTGAAGAGTGACTGTCAAAGTCCAGTGTTCGAGTCAGTTGCAAGATGAAGGAGTATTTCCCTCTCAAGTTGCAACTGGCCATTCCGCACTGAGTAGTCGCCTGTACACTGCAACTTTGTATCGGATCTTGAAGAGGAAGCGGAGTACGCACGTAGGATCGAAGTGAGCATCAGACGCCGCTTAAGGAGGAGAAAGATGTCGCTTCTCAAGGCCTCAACGGTAACAATGCTCCTCTAAATGTATTAGAGCTCCCCGCGCGGACGCATAAAGCCGCATTGCTATTGTCTAATCGAGCGAACACCACGCATGCATCCATTGAAATTGGGCAGGTGAACTTTGAAAACGAATGGAAAGATATGCAACCGCGACTGGCATCGCTGGTCACTGGGACGCCCCAGACGCTGACGAATGAGAAGTGGCTCAAGATGTACTCGTACGTGACGTGGCAATCTGGCTTTTATTATACTTGAAGTGGAAAGACATACGTTATCGCTTGACTTGGTAGTGGCATCTACAAGATCTGTACGAATCCGGGAGCTCCACAGGCGGAGATGCTTTTTTTTCGGCTGCGAGGGCTGTTGGTGAAGCACGTGGAGGCCATCTTGATGGAGCTGAACGCGATCAACGGCGAGCCCGAGTTCCTGAACCATTATTGCACTTCGTTTGAGGCTTTTACCACAGGAACAAGCTATATTTCGGAACTCTTCCGCTACCTGGTTGGCCGTTAACTTGCTTTTGAAGCCCAAGTGCATATATCTTACGCTGTGGAAATGTTGTACAGAACCGCTACTGGATCTCGTATTCCCACTGCGAAACTGGCCAAGCTCCTGTCCCTGGAGTGTATCCCGTCACAGAAGTAAGCCCAGCGTGCTGCAAGAGAGATGTCACTAACTGTATTTTGCTGCATAGCTTTCGCTTCACATTTGGCACGACATCGCGTTCTCAAAGCTCAAGAAGCGTCTGGTTAAGGCGATTATTCACATATTTCATGCAGCGCGGCGTGATAGAAGCGAGTGCTTTGAAGATGGAGACTGCATTGCCAGCACAGTCCAGGTGAGCATAACGATGTTTGTTAGAGTGCAGGATTTGTGCCATGCTAACAACAAGAATGGTGTCTTTGCAGACATACTTTAGTCTAGGACTATGCAGACAGGATCAGATGAGTCTTTATCGAGAAGAACTTGAGCAGCCTTTTCTTGAGGTAGGAGCTACAAACATTTTGAGAGTTTTAAGAAATCTGGCCGACGGAATTTTTTTTTAGGATGCTGCCAGGTCTTACTCGACGAAGGCGATTACGTTGCTGTCCAGAGTTACAATATCAGGATACTTACGAGAGGCAGAGCTTCTGTGTGCTCAAGAGCAGAGACGCTGTGAATCTCGGTTGCATCGGACGTGAGTCATGGTTGGCTTTACTGCCAATAGTGATTGGGTATATCGATTGATGTGCATGTGTATTGTTTTATTGATCACAGCACTGTCATACAAGTTCGACAGGCTTGCTGCCGCGTCCTAGTGGATGAGCATGCTGATCGGATCTGCGAGGACGCCGAGAACTTCTTGATTAACAACCAGAAAGAAGATCTACACCGAATGTTCTCCCTGTTCTCTGAGTTGGCCAATGAGAATGCGCTGATATCTTTCAAGGTGCTTTTCATTCTGCGTGTTTACTGCTAGAAACGTTTACTTATGGTCTGATGTTCAAATAATGTATGGGTACGTACAGAATATATTGAAGAGGTACATTGAGCGAAGTGGAATGGAAGTTGTTCAAAAGTTCCAACAAGAAGAGACAACTAAGAATCCGGAGGGATACATTGAAGCGCTAGTTCAGGTCCGCAATAAGTATTTCGAGCTGATCAAGGACGCGTTTGGGTTCCACCCATTAATGCGAACAGCACTCGACCAGGTTTGTTTATCCGACGAAATGGTTACCCTCCCAGTAGTTTGCTAACTGCCGTATCCCTAGGCTTGTCGGACTTTTGCCAACTCGCACCCGCGACTTCCGGAATTGCTAGCCAGGTACACGCACTACTTGATGTCGCGTGATAAGAAGCACGGTTGCAGTCGAACGCTACTCCTGCCTGGGTCTCCGCGATCGGTGTTACCCCCTCTGCTGGACGATTTGCTGGAGCAGAAAATCGAGAATATCAGTGTGGTGTTCTGCCTCATCGATGACAAAGATGTTTTCAAGAAATACTACTCAAAGTTTCTGGCGAAGCGTCTCATCAAGGGTATGAATACGTAAAGCAAGTGTTGCTTGCTAAACGTCTAAAACTCGAGTGGTAACGTGCTATAGGAACGTCTGCGTCGGACGACATGGAAATCTTGCTCATTCAGAAGCTGCGGGACATTTGTGGATGCGATTTCGTATCAAAACTTCAGAAGATGATGAAGGACAAAATGCTGAGCAAGGTCCGAGATGGGTTCGCGTGAACCTGACCTGGTAGCATATTCTAATGACTTTGTCCATGTGTAGGAATTGATGGATTCGTTCACAGCATGGCTCGAAGAAAAAGACATCGAGCTGCGATCTGAGCATGTAGCCAACGCATCTGCCATTGATCTTCATCACGCTGTAACCTACCACTGCGACGTTCTCACAGCTGGAGCATGGCCAATATCGAGTGTTGCCGCAGAGCACAAGATCTTTTTGCCACCTGCCATGGAAGCCCATACGAACCTGTTCACACAGTTCTACACTGGACGGAGCACTGGCCGAAAACTCTTGTGGATCCACCACCTTTCCTTTGGAATGATTCAGAGTCATTGTTTTGGTAAACGCTACGAGTTCTTGCTCAGCTTCTACCAGATGCTGGTCCTCGTACAGGTAACGTGCGTGTATGCTGCGACTGATTTTATTTTTTGAATACTTACATTTTTTGTGAAGTTCAACACAGCGAAGGATATAAATCGATCTGACATTGTTCAGCTAACGAATATTCCCGAGCAAGATTGCACTCACCACCTGGCAAGCCTTGTCAAGGTTGGTAGACACGTCCAGGCACGGTGTTGTGGATAAAGCGTCTAACTAATTTCGGCACGGCGATTCTACTTATGTAGGCAAAGATTTTGACCTCAAATGGTGATACTGCGAATCCTAGGTATGAAATCAACTTCGGGTTCTCCAGCCGGAAACTTCGTATATCGGTACGTTATTTGCAGTGCTTTTTTTATTCACACAGGCTTACATTCCTTTTCATGAATAGGCTGTACCAAACAGCCCAGTTGAATCCCCGAAAGTGGCCAAGACCCCAACTCGCGAAGTGGAAGAAGATCGTAAAATGTCGTTGCAGGCCGCGATCGTTCGCGTGCTGAAGACGCGTCGAGACATCCGCCAGGCGCAGTTGGTGCATGAAGTTGCGGAGATGCTAGTCAACCAATTCGTACCGACTACTACCGCCATCAAGCAGAACGTTGAGAATCTCATCCAGAAAGAATATCTCCGTCGTCACGAGGAGGACAAGACGAGGTTTTTATACGTGGCTTGAGTCTCGTAGGGAAAGTGTGAAATACTGCATTTAAGGAGTTCCATTCAGCTGCTAGGAAACAAACCTATACAAAATGCATATCACTCTAGCGCACATGCAGCGTACAGTTTCCGTATCCATGTTTCTCCTTGTACTTGTCAAAAATGCGCACTAGCTCGCGCTCGTACTGGTGATGCAGCTTTTCGATGTCGTCCGAACTCGGGTCGTCCTTCTTCAAGACTGGAATGGGTTTGCCAAAGACCTGGTTGATGGTCACTCCTTTATGAGGTAGCCAAAACAACCACTTGGAGTATCCACGTCCAAGCAGCAACGCCACAGAAAACTTCTTCGCAATCGTTTGGCGGAACGACAACAGCACACTTCACAAATATACAACCACCAGCAGCAGTTGGTTAAAGCACGCGCGGCTCGTGACTTCAACTCGAAAACGCACCTTGAGTGGGTGAACAGGTCGGTCTCTCCAAACGCGTAGCCGGGAACGATGGGTACCCCGTATTTCAGTGCTAAGCGAATGTGCCCCTTGCGCTTTTTGACGTAGATCGTGTGGTCTCCACGCTGAGAGAGCATCTGCTCCGCAATACCCCCGACTAAGATCACCAGACTCTTGCCATTTCGAAGCATCTATGCAATATCTCAAACATTGTCAGTAGTCTGAAAATGACAGCAGGATTTACGTCCACAATACCTTTTCCGCCACACTACGGCGTGCATCAACACATCCAGACCAGAGTACATATTCACGGTAGAATGGTATCCGGAAACAAACGGACGCAGCCAAGTGGCGTCGTGTAGACAGCGGTACCGTCTCGTAGAATGCTGTCAACGCAGTTATCGAGTAAATTCTAATTCTGTGAGACTCCAATTTGTACTTGGAAGATCCGATCTGGACTTCATGTCTATCGTTTACTTACGAGGAACAGTCTGCCCAGACATGAGAAGTCCGTGGTGGGTGGAAAGCAGTCCATGTGGATGCGAACAAAAGATGTGTTGCTTGGAGGCGTCAATGGGCTCCTCGAATTCCAGCGTCCCCGGAATGTGCGCCATGCCGTGTCCGATGAAGGTGGCAAACCATGGCCAGTAGCGCTCCCCCGTGTACTCTGAGCCGTCCAAGTATGAAGGGAGATAAGCAGCTACACATGCAGTTGCAATCGTTATTAAGGCGCTTGCATGAATGGCGACGCAAAGGGAGATTGTCGCCACTGCGAGGCCGACACCAAGCAGCCAAGTGTGTTGCTGGCCTGTCATAGTGAACTAAAGTGAGCGTGTGATGTGCATCATCATCATTAACCTAAATTAATTTTATTTAATAAAAATACCAAGTTCCGTGAAATGCCAGTTTATTATAGTACCCAAACGCATGCTATCTTATGGCCAGACTTTGTTGCCTTTTTTGTTGATCTTTAGAATACCGAACGCTGTCCTCACGACAGCTCAGACTGCATCATCCTCATCGATTTCGTCAGCTGGAACAATCTCGTACTCGTCGTCCATGAACATGGCATGGCGCCTAAAGAAAATCTCGTGAGGGTTGAGAGGACCATCTTCATCATCGAAGAATTCATCCTCTTCATCGCTCCCACCATCATTATTGTCCGAGTCCCCTAAATATTCATTCTCAAAGAATATTTCTCCCTCTTGAGACCCAGGAGACCAGTCGAGCTCGAGGTGTTCAATCAGGCGAAAGCTTTCGTCGTTGTCTCTGCAGAGAATGATATGAAGATCGAGAGACGGATGTGCGCTCGCCACCTTTTCAAGGATAGGATTCAGCTCGTCGCGTACGTAGGAAACACTCCAATCCTTGTCAACCGATGCGCTGTGCGGATTGAATATGTTCAGTGATGCCTTGAAGCTGCACGAGCTCGCACCCAATTCTTCTTCGCTTGTTTTGGCGAGGTGCTTTAGTAGTGTCATAAGCTCGAGGTAGAATGGATGTGGCAGCGCAGTGTCGTGGTAAATTGGGCCTGCGAGACTCAAGTCAAGTGTGCGGTTCCCTCCAACATAGTGTTTCATTCTAAAGAAGCGCTGCAGGAACTGAAATACGCCATCTCCAGAGCAACACACGGCCGACAGCTCAATTGAAGCTAAGCGCGAGTGCTCTGCAAGTGCAAGTAGCCCTCGATCCGTGAATGTTTCGATCGGTCTGACGATACGACTCCCTCCATAGGCAGAGCAGTCGTGCACATACACAGATTGCAACAGCGGACAGGACTGAGCGACGGCCTCCCAAAATTTGTCTCCAAAGATATCAGCGTCAAGCAAAGGCGCAAGATCATTCATGTTTTTCTCTTCGTCGATAGCAACTTCCAGCTCAGTTAGCCCGGGACAACCCTTAAATATGGCAATCACATCGTTTGCAAGCAGCCCGTAACCAGGTTTCTCGGTGGAGAAGCCCGTCGACCCATCTCGTGTAAAATACTCGTCTCGGTCCCACGATAAATTCGACGTCAGTGTCAACTTCTTCAAATTTGGCTTAACATGATCTCCAAATACTCGAAAGAATGGATCTGCAAAGGGCACAACGACCCAGTGGAATTCCCGCAAACTAGTGCAAGTCTCGTTGAACTTCTCCCAGGTCTCCAGCGAGATCATCCACTTCTCCTCACACGTTATATCGTTCATCTCGTCCAAAGCGAAGCTGTACCCATTCAGATATTTCACATTCGGACAGAACTCAACTATGTCCTCAATAAATCTCGTGCTGGTCTGAACTCTGTCCTCCTCTTCCCTCGTGGGCACTGTCAGTTGTTTCAACCCCCCACACTTGCCCTTGAAATGCCATCTCGCCATCGCATCTCTCAACACCTTCATCACTTTTCCAATGATAGTACTATTGACCATCACGTTCGCATCCTGTTTCCTGGGGAGCACCAAGTATTCCAGTTGCAGGCAGAATCTCGCTGCTGTCTCCAACAAAATCGGCAAATGGGGACTCTCGAGTGGCATAAATCTCAAATCCAATCTTTTGAGCCCAGGCATTCGCGAGAAAATGATGTCCCACGGGATTTCGCGGTTCTCCATCCACCACCAAACTCCTGTGACGAACCGCATGCCGTCCGAGCGCCCCATTCGGATGCGGAGATCCCGCACTGAGCGCCCTCGGAGTTCAACTTGTCGCCGGATCCCCATAACTTCGACCCTCGAGCCAAACTTCAACGTCAATTGCATCGTGTCGCGCCGATAACGCGCCGCGAGTTCGTCTACAGCCTGATACCAGCTTTTCGACACGAGCGCCACGTCTTTTAGGTAATTGCCGGAAAATTCGCGGCGCACAGGCCCCAATTTCGGCGTGTAGCTGAACATGAGGAATTCAATCACAAGAGAGAAGAGCGATAAAGGCAGCAAGGGCGGCGACATGCTGGAAGGTGCCGGCGGGGGCGACCTAGACTCTTCCGACGAGCTCGGACGCTTGATGGTCATGCGCTTTGTGAAAACTATTCTATAGACTATGCAGTTCGATTATGCTCTTAACCAGTTCTCCTTCTTGAAGTCACGCTTCGCTGACGCTCTTCTCTCTGGTCATGGAGTTCGTCACGTTCCGCTACAGCCCAGGCCTGCTCCCCAACAAGCGTTCGCCGGCTTGGAAAAGTCTGAACGAGATGGCAATGGTCTCCAAGAGCTGGGCACGCTCAGTGCAACAGCTAACAACACAGTCCAGCAAGAAACAATGAAAATCCAGCTGAAACATGGGGCCGAGGAGGAACTTATGAACATCCGAAACGAGATTTCACATCGAAGTTTCCTTGTGCGCGATCTTCGCGTGTGCATTGGACAGAAGGAGAAATACAGCTGCGGGTGACCAAGGAGACAGAAGAGCTCAAGGTAGACTGGGATTCACTATTGGGGAGTTTCCATGAGCTGGAACGTCTTGATCTGAAGCTTGTGCCACTGGAGAGTCAACATCTCTCTCTGTTATTGAGGGCGGCGGGGAAGCACTGTGTGCAGCTGGAAGCTCTGGTTCTGCCACGAAAGCCGGACTGGAAGAAACCTGCAAAGGGGAGAAAGATAGAGGCCGTGCTGAAGGAGCTCTACGGTGCGTTGGCGCACATTTACGTACAAGGGAATCGTGGCGGACTAAGACAGTTAACGGTGCCATCGAGAAACGATGGCAAGCGTCACCACACAAGTACCGAGTTTCTCGAGCATGTCATCAAGTTTTGCCCCAACATCGAGTACCTGGACGGAGCTGAACGAAGTTTTCATAATCACGATGGTGTCAGATGTGACGACAAATGAATGATCTCGTTGGAGACCTGGAAAGAATTTAACAAAACGTGTACATCGTTGCGCGGATTTCACTGGTCTCCTGTACCGTTCGCAGACCCGTTCTTCCGTGTGTTTGGCAAGTATCCGAAACCACAACTGAAGAAACTCACGATTACCGCGAACTTGCTGTGGAGCTGGAAGGAATACTTGAAGCAATGTGGTGAAGCGACTACAAAGTGATCACGCACTGCCACGGAAAAGATGCCAGAGATATTAAGGCGGCGTTTAAAGGCTGTCCAGGCTTGACTGATCTCAAGGTTGAAATTGACTTACAAAAGTACACAATTTATGCCACTCGACTGTTTACCATTGAGCGATATGGTGACGACTTCTGGGAAGCAGCAGCTACTCACTGCCCGCTTCTTGAAAGGTTCGCAATCCGGAACTGTTCCAATTTTGCGATAAAGTCGATGAAGGTTATAAACACCTTCACGGACACAGCACTTCTCAAGCTGAGTGGTTTGAAGTATTTTGCCTTGACAGAGAGCAACGTGCCTGTTATGTGCACGGGAGATGAAGTCTTCGAGTACATGCGTCGTGTGATAGCGGAGAGTCGGTGTACTGGTAAGTCGCTCGAGCTTGATCTTCGCATCGGTGGCCTCCAGAATGGCCACCCAAGGCTTTACTCTGTCGCAGTGGAGCTGTTACGTCGCCTAGCGGCTATAAGCGAGTCGGATTTCGGGGCAGCATCAAGGCGTCAAAAGTATGAAGTGTACCTCGTAAATCCATATCGCAATCGAGCGAACAGGCAGTGGAGCTCGACGTACATGCGTCATGAGCTAAGACCTTTGATGGAGCGTGTGAAAGATGCATTCATCACTTCATGTAAGTGCCTCAATGACTGGGAAATGAGGAGATGGCTTCGCCAAGTTCGACGTGCTTATTCTCAGCTGGAGTTCGGAGCACTTCAACGACGACATGTTCTCGTACACGGTCGATGAAGGCGACCCCTATGATGACCCCCACAACGACTTCCCTCTGTGTCGCGCCAATCTTCTCAGTGTGCTGTTCGAGTAAAGGCTCTGGTGCACTTGGACCAGCTCATCGCAAAAACTACTGCGATTCTGTTGGAAGTGCAAGATGTGCACGTACATCGACTCCAGAGTAGTATCCTATGTTACGGCACATGGAAGGTTCTAGAAGGATCTAGGCATAGTGATAGGTCTTAGCTAGCGGATGGTTGGTTAGTTCTCAATTCGAGATTGGTAAAGCCACTGACGAGGCCCCGGCGGGGGCCGAAACGCGTCTGGCACGCGTTCAATCCAAGTCATTCACATCTACTCGATTCTACATTTCCTACAGGTTATGAGCCCAAACGGCTTGGTATGGGCACTGCGGTGTACGCGGAATACGCGCTGGAGGAGATCACGCTCAAGTCGTCGCGGAAGCAACGGGCTCCGACGACAGGGGGAGCGGAACATACAAGTGCGCGGTGGACACGCAGTCGCTCTTTGCGTTCGGGAAAAGGACGGCCGAGTTCTGCACAAGGAGGTGGTTTCGAGTGGTGTGAGTGGTGGATCGAAAGAGGTCGATCGAGAAGGAGAACAACAACAAGCTCAAGCAAGGCTCAAGGACGGCTACAAGGTGTCAAGGGACGACGTGGTGGTGAACATGAGGGAGCCGGGAAACCTAGCGATCGCGGCAGCAACGGTTACGCTGGCCAGCGCGCAGGTGGTAAACCCTACAAGAATGTATGCAGTGAAGAGGCTGCAGCTGACAAGCATCATGCGGAGAGCAGCCGATGGCTGTACACTCGTGACCAAGACGGCTACGACTCATGTCGTCGAGGGGGAGTGTTGGAAGTGCAAGATGTGCACGTACATCGACTCCAGAGTAGTATCCTATGTTACGGCACATGGAAGGTTCTAGAAGGATCTAGGCATAGTGATAGGTCTTAGCTAGCGGATGGTTGGTTAGTTCTCACTTCGAGATTGGTAAAGCCACTGACGAGGCCCCGGCGGGGGCCGAAACGCGTCTGGCACGCGTTCAATCCAAGTCATTCACATCTACTCGATTCTACATTTCCTACAGATTCTTCGGGAGTCGCAGCGGCTCTGTACCCTTCAGCTTCGCTTCAGCTTGCAACAGTTCCTCCAAATTCGACGGCCTTATGGGCCCGTGGATGTGTGCGTGCAGCTCCACCTTGGGCAGCGCCAAGGCCAGCAACTCATACGTCGATTCAGATAAGTAGTGGATTGTCATTCGATTTATAAAAATATAGTGCCAAATTGTCACATGCTACATATTGACTCCAAAACGACTACCATAATATGGTAGTCATTTTGGCCAGTCAATTATTAATATATAATAAGATATTATCTTGGATTCGCAGTCCTCAGGCGTGAAAATATATATTGTGTTTTGGCTAATTAGAACTAGATGACATGTAGTCTTGGGCAGTAATGTTGCTGGGACTATGCTAGAGGCGGACGAGCTCAAAGTTATCTTGCGGGAGCAAGTTTGCATTCCTGGCATGGAGCTGTGTAGTGCGATAAAAATAGTTGGCTTCAGCTGAAAAACTTCGTGGGCACCAGTGCTGACAGATATTGTGTAATTCCGAGAAAAAATTAACATCCGCCCACTTTTGGTCAAGTTGTCGTGATTCTCGCTGCTGACATCATCGACGTTAACAACATTATTGCTGCAGCGAGACGGCATACGTGCAAATACGTTTCTGCTTATGCTAAATTACAGTAAATGTTGTCCCTTCCGGGACTGGTATGATCAAATGCCCTGATATTGACGATATAATCACTAGTCTTCGGTAACCTACTGCGCGTTCGCCAGCACGCATCCAGCGCGCCACAACATAATTTGATCTGGACAGCAGACATGGGGAGCTGGACGAAGATCGAGCACAAACGCGGTCTCACCAAGAAAGCGAACGATCGCCCTGACATGACGCAGGAAGAGATGGCAGCCTGGGCCAAAGTCACGTACAAATTAAAGCGGTCGCTTGCCCAGACTACGGTCTCCGATATCTAAAGAGCGCTACCAGGATCATGAGCGAGGCGTATGGTGATGGTAGGCGGCGTAAACCACCGCGAGCGGTCTTATCGAGGCTAGAAGCCCAGCTGTGGGAGTGGATTCAAAAGGTTGAAGCTCAGTGTGTATGTCTTTCACGGGAATTGATCAAAATGAACGCTCGTGATATTCAAAGAAAGCTATGCAATGCATGGGACCTGACTTTGCGAGCGGATGGTTCAGTGCGTTTGAGCAAAGGCATCGGCTACGCTCAAGACAACTTCCTGGAGAAGCGGCATCTGCTGACCCTGTATCTGTTGCTCTCGGGTGCCAGCAGCTGCGATATCTCTACGAGCCTACAAATATCTACAACATGGACGAAATAAGGCTCTGCTACGCAATGACGCCCGCTCGCTCCGCCTGTACTAAATCGGCGCGAGGTACGAAAAAGTACAAGACGAAGATCACTGTCTCTCTCACGGCAAACGCGGATGGCTCGGATGCACTACCCGCGCCTTTTTATGTCGCGCGAAGCAGCCATACTGATTCAAAAACGCACTGTAAAAGAGCTTGGATTTAGTTTCCGGTCTAATGCTAAGGCCTAGATGACGGGGTTAATATTCCGAGAGTCGCTGTTGACTTGGATCGGGAAATGAAATTGTGTGGTCACCATATTCTCCATCTTTTAGACAATGGCTCTTTCCACAAGCTCGACGACGTCGTTACACTAACCTATGCGTAGAGTTATTGCCGCCAAACACCACTGCCTTCTAACAGCCCATGAACGCTGGCATTATGTCGTCTGAAGAAAGCGTATAGAAGAAAACAACTGCAGTGTATTTATGACAAGATCAAGAACGGTCATCACATTAATAAGAAGGCATATGCTGTAGACCAGTTGCAAGCGATGCAACGGAGTAAGGAGATTTGGCAAGAATTACAAGGTAAGTCTACGATCCAGAAGTGCTTCCCCTATAATTTTTATAGGCGTAGACGAAAGGTGCAAGACCTTTCAGCTCTCCAGCTACAGAGATGATTTTGATGTATTAATAGAGGACATTTAAATCCGCGTTGGTAGGTTGACACTGTAAAACCCTTCCAAATACTATGTTAATTCCTATGATAGGGGCGGACCACGATACCAGAAGTGAGATAATTTACTGTAACCGACACCAAAGTATATGGAATGTGCAATACTGAGACGATTGTCACGAAGCGAAATTGATCAATTAATATAATGAATGTCTTTTGCTTATTTTAGCATGGCATATCAGGCGAGAAATGGTCGGGCTCAGGAGGTCCGACAAAAAAATTAACTTCTTTAATCTGCTTGTACACCATACGATAGTATAACTATCTATTAAGTTGCGGTTTAAGGACGAAGCTGGTGCGTACGCTTAGTTAAATATTATATTAATACATAGATGCGTAGTCTACCGCGTAGGAAGGGTAGATATATAGGCAAAGATCCGTATGTCGTTAATTTGCTTCTCCTGAGCACATGCAGTATCTGCTGTAATATGTTTGCCTACGAACAGTGAAGCATTTGGCGGCTACGGGACCCGGCTTATAAAAACAGTTTAGAATAGTTTGTTGGAAAAAATCTGTAAACACAGTGGCCCAAAGATAGAATGACCAATAATATCAAATATCACTGCTAATTTTGTTTTGCGGTGACCTTCAAACGTTTACTTGGACGCCAATAAAATGGCCAGACATTTCCCAAAATATCTTTCCGGTCAGAATTGAAATGGATAACCACTTTCATTTATATCTCTTCGTAGACGACTCGCCACAGGTAGCCGTAAGGGTCAGGGGAAGACGCTTTTCACGTACGGAGGGGGCTCTGTACTTCTTTCTGCAAAGCATAAGATCAAAGTTACTAATTACTTTTTAGGAATTTTAAGAAGTGCCAAGGATACTTCGACATGCTTTCTCACAGCGTTTGTATGTGTATATTTGGATCGTTGAACATGTACAATGCCTGTTGCCCTTCTAGAACCTACATAACTAGCTATCTGCGAGCTTGGCGGCTCGGTGTAGCACCTTACAGCATGATTGTACACCGCCGTGTGCCAGTGCACAAACTCCAGTTATGTACCCAGGCTTGGAGCGATGCTGGGTGATGCAAAGACTCCCGAACGCTTGCTAGCCGCATGCAAGGAAGGCGGTGGCGGTGTACGTCGAGGCTGAAGGATCTATAGGGATCCAAATATACACATATAAACGCTGTAAGAAAGCACGTAGAAGTGTCCTAGACACTTCTTCATGCTTTGAAGAAACAAGTAAAGAGCCCCCTCCGTACGTGCAAAGCATCTTCCGCTGACCTTCACGGCTGCATGCGGCGAGTCGTCTACGAAGCGAAATGAATGAAAATGGTTATACATTTCAATTCGGACCGGGGATATATTTTGGGAGATGTCTGGTTAATTTGTCTTCATCCAAGTGGTGATATTGTTCGTACCACATCTCAATTTTGACTCCCCCTATTCGACTTCAATCACGCGATTTTTTTTACATTGAGCATCATTTCTTTCTGCCACTACTGCTCTAGGAATGGAGAACAAAACCTTGTGCAGTCGACTCAAGTATGGAGCGCAGCTCAAGATATCGAGGGCTGCTGGTTCGCCGCAGCGTGCTGGGGGTGGTACTCGGAGAACCTGGAGCGGACTCGTGCTGTTCTGGAGGTGGGTTCCATTGAGGGGAGGGAGAAAAGATCCTGGCCATTGGACTTGGGGGTTGCCTCACCTTCTTTCGGGCCACGCATTTAAGTGCGGATCCGATCCGGTGTCGCTCAGGTAACCATTTCTTCCTAATTTGGTGTGTGGAGATTGTCGTCTACATCAGAATGTCAGTCTCGCTATGGTCTCACATATTATAGGCTTCGTGCAGACGAATGCCGAGAGCATCATCGAGATGACTCAAAACAAGAACATCCGTTGCTGTGTACGCTAGTGAAGATTTTGTTTAGCTACGCACCGGAGCACCCTTAGTAATAGCGGTGTTAGAGGCGGAGAGGCAGTCGTAGCTTGAATGCTCGACTATGAGACGCCTTCTGGATGGGATTGCGTCACTGTATGTAGACGAAATGACACCATATTGTAGCAAATAGACAAGGCACTGCTGCAGCGTTTGTAGTCGGGGCTGAAGATGGCGCCTCCCCGTATCGCGTCAATAGGTGCGTTCATGCAGTCTGGAAGGACTCGTAGGTTGCTCGCAAGTTCCAATGAACAGCATTGAACAAATTGTTGAGTTGCTGAAATGAATCAAGTGTACGTCTGGTGCTCACTCGTCCACAAGCTCCTTCCAGCATACCCGTAGCTAAATAGACGGCACCGAAAACTCTGTACAGCTAGTTGGACAATATCACAAACGACACAGCAGAGTATATCCGGATAAATGCGCATAATTTTATCTGGTGTTGTCAACGAGAAAAGAAGGTCAAAGATAAGAAATCTCACGCTGAAGCCGACATTCGACCGGCAAGGCTGACCACGAGGAGATTCTTGAACGCCTACAGGAAGTGATCGTTGTCATTCATACTCACCTGACGGTACGCGATACGACTCAAGGGTTTGAGCGGATAAATAAAAGATTTCGCTGTTTCCTTTCCGCTCAGGTAACTGTCCATCTTGTATGAACAAGCATTTAAGTGGAAGAGTGAGCTGAGACACAATTATAAATGCAACTCTAAACTTCGCTAGCTCCGCTGCCATTACTTGCGCGGGTGTTAAGCGATAGGGTAGCGATCAATGTTGTGACGAGACCTGCAGTTCGTGGCGCCCGATGAGAGACTACCATTTGCAATTTTGCGAGATGGTCCCCAAGCACAAGAAGGCGACACAAACAAACACCCAGTACACGTACCAGTGTGTAAGGTGAAGCAAGTCTGTGATCTGTATTTTCTGCGCGAAGAGCTCAAGCGAACGACCATAGTTCTCAGCCAAGTGGGGCTTCTTGGAAGGAAATCCGCGGGAATGCATTTCCTCCGCTGCCTCGAACAGCGCGAACAGATTCCAGACCTCAGCCAAATGTTCTTATATCGATGCGGCACTGCTTCTTTCCGTTTTACTGGAGAGAGAGATCGATACATGGCGAATCCCAGGTACCCCGGCCTCCACAAGACTTTCCTCGTGTACTTGGGGCCACAGGAGCAAATTTCGAGCCACGTCTCGCCGACGTTGGCGTATTGGAGTGCGATAATCAATGAGATGACCTCAGTGATGGCGATAAACACTGCAAGCATGCTGGCACTACATTTCCGTCGGAGACTACACCAATATGGCAGATCCCGGTACGCAAAAAAGAGGGTAAAATTCAACTCAGCTACAAGAAAGTCAAGAAGCTTGCTGATAGCTGCTATCTTGGCCAAGAACTCCAACATTTTGACTCAAATGGAAACCAAACTGCTACAGCAAAAATGTGGGATACATGGGCCCAATCGCGGACTTCAAAAGAGCGTGAGCTACGTGAATGACTCGGTATGGTGCACAATCCGTGAAAGCTCCGTTACTTTGTGGAGAAGGCCTACGACATGCTCTTGTGGATGGATGGGCTCGTAGAGAAGCACCCAAAAACAAGAGGTGCTCATCTGTATTCGATACTATTACAAGCGGGCTCTTTCGTACCATCTCAAGTTACACTGAACGCGTCGACTTTGTAAAAGCCCTGTTTGGTCGTATTTACAACGATCCGGTGGCTAAGGTATTTGGGAATGGCTATCTGGGGCTGGAATGCAGAAGTGTGACAGCTCGCTCGGCATGGCCGTTCAAAAATGAAACTGTACTCCGCACGATATTCAACGTAAACGCGTTAGAGACCAGAACGCGCCAGCTCGGTAACCAAGTCACGACGGATGGCTATGCGGCTTCGGTACTACTTCAGCGCGAGGTACCTTTCACAGAGCGCACAGACCCCAATATGGTGTTTTTTTTTTAAAATGGAGGAGGGCAAGCAGAAGCCAAGTGACGGACATCGTGGAGAAAGGTGCCTTTGATTTGGCGCTCGACAAGTTACCGAATGGCTACACTCCAGACATTCTCTTCGGGATCGATCCTGGTGTGAGAGCGCTTGCCACGGCGCCGTATGCTGGAAATAATTCACGGCGACAGCGACGCAGACACCACAGTCGCCGCCGCAGGTGTCGTCGCTTTCTTAAGAAGGGCTCGATGAAACGCATTGCGAAGCACTAACAGGGACAGCGAGGTATTGGCGTCAGCGCTGCAGAGTATTATCACTGGGCCAAGTTCGAAACGAAGCGCGTATGGTACCTAAACTTGAGGAAGGGAGAGCCTACGTACGATATGAAATTGAAGGAAATGCCAAGTTTCAAAATTGCTCAGCTGACAACGTACGTGGATCGACTCAGGTACTTTGTGGAGCACGTGGGAGGTCTCGTGTCGTTTTTGGCAGAAAAGTCGTTTCGGAAGTGGAGGTTTCTAGCCAAGGGTTCGAAGATGCGGGCGATGACTACGATTGTCAGGCGACTTTTTCCGGTTCGGAGTGCGCACGTCTGCATCGCGTTCGGTGATTGGAGCTGCCAGGATGGTCTTCGTGGAAGCTTAAGAGCTACAGTAAAAGCACTAAAGAGAGAGCTAGAACGGTGGGCGACAGTGCTGCCCGTGGACGGGTTTCGTACCAGTAAGATGGGCTCCTGTTGCCACGAGCGCCTCCATCCAGCTCGGTTGCTGATGAAGGTGAGAGAGGCTGAGTAGACCTCGATCGTCTTAAAAATAAATAGAAACGTATTGTGCTGCAAAAACAGTCGATGCAAGGCCCACTTCTGGAATTGGGACGTCAATATATATTGGATGAAGCTACTTAAATACATGCGTTTAGGACTGGGGAGGCTTGCAGCTTTCGAGCCATGACTGCGAGATTGGAAATGTCATTGCTTAGAGATACGCTGTACTCGGAGGGGGAGAACATTTTATCTGAGCACAAGAAGATCATAGCCACTCACACGGTGTGAAGGAGCACAACTGCTTCGACAGAAGAATCCGTTACAAGATAGATAGGATACCACAAAGTTTGCATGGTGAACTGTAGTGAAGTACTTGGTTAATACATTATGAATCCACTCGAAACAAGGTGATCGTTAAGCCTTTTTCAGTTTTTTGCTAGGGCCTTAAAGAAGCACCATCATTTTTTTCCTATATAATCGGGACCGGAGAAAATAGCCAAAACGTAAAATTCTTCCGGCAGGGGTGAGTGGCGGCACAGTGCACGGGTAGCTCGCTGTACGAGCCTTCTTAGAAGCAACCGACCCAGGGGTGCATGCGAATAACAATGGGGAAGTTGTTACAGAACGAACTTGGCCCAGGTAAGTGAAAAAAAACGCGTACAAGGCGCGCAAAGTGACTTTGGAGGCCGAGAACCAAGTTTCAAGTCGTAGTGAAACCCAAGCTTTAGACACCCTTTTCAAGTGATTATAGTGCTTGTTGGGCGGTCGGAAAACATCTATTTACTTTCCTTCGTTTTCTAGTTCATAAAAGACCAAAACCAAATATTTTGGATAAGCTCTGTCAGCTCCGCGATTTTGTTTTTTCAATCAACTGCTCTATTGTAAAGTTCAGACGCTCAGCTTTACGATGGTGTGCGTAGCTCCGTTTTGAGGTTATATAGCTAGCGATCATTTTGTTCTGAATGGACTCGTTATTGTGAACTCCAGCGGTTTTGGCCTTTCAGATTTACTCACTCTGATGCGATTTGCCATTACCAAATGGCGGTCGATTTTTATTTAAATCCCACAGTATGCCGTCTGCTACCTGGGCACTCCGGTCGAATTACATATAAATCTTCCAGTTGAAGGTTTTGATCGACCAATCAAAGCCTTCAACGATCGTAATTTGCGCGTGGTCGCAGCAAAATACACACGTTGACAGAGATACAGCGATCGATGTGCTCGGTCGTCTAATAAGGGGTAAGAAGAGGGATGTATATGCTAACTTTGGGTAAATAGAATATAATACCCGTAATAACGGTCGATCTAGCGTTTGAATAGGACAAAAAGGGTGGTGATTACAATAGCAGAAATGCTTCCAAATTTGCGCTGTGCATGTTTTTTTAGACTCGTTATTTTTACCGATTGGGTAACACGAGACGGTGCGTTTTTACCCGATGTCAACCGACTGGTGCCCGATTTTACCCGATTAAACAAGAGCCGGATTGGTCGCCTGATGTGTCCTTGGAAATATATACGGATAGCCGGAAGCCAATGGTGACCTCCAATCCGTGCATCTTGGTACGACATCACACAAACGTAGGCCTTGTGGTTGACGAAGTACTTAGACAGGTAGGCAAAAAAAAATAGCCACATGAGAGATGGAAAGAAGTAGGTGTAACTCCACCAAATAAGCTGGAATCGCCACCAAAAATATAGGACAATGCACACCAATGGTGGACAGATATCACTCCGATTATTCAAGTGGAGTGTCCACGCTTATAGGAACCAATAACACATAGAACAAGGTTAATAAACACTTCAGGTCAGTGCTTTTGCTCGAATCACTTGGATAGATGAAGTGATTCGAGCACTAAGTTGTAGCGAGCATATCGTAGTTGCAGCAACGACCCCTCGCCTTCCCTTGCGGCGTGCCCATGACACTACGCATACTCGCTTTGAGCCTTTGAACAGACTAGGCGAGACTTTGTTTAGCCTAACGAAATTGGACACATCTTCATGTGCACATTCATTCATGCATTAACGTAATGGATTTAATCATACAGAAATTCACGCAAAGGCCGCTCTGTAAGGAGGTCCTTAGACGAAGAACCACTAGCTGCACCCGGCATGGCGTCCAGCATCTAGAAGTCGGCACACACCAGCAGACGACCAAATTATTGGGTGGACTTGTTTTTAAGTCGGGCGACCAGGTATATCACGCCGTCTAGATGCCTCTCACACTCACTTTGAATGAGCTCAATCTATCGTGTAAACGTGGCACTGCCCATTTGTCCATGCTGCATTTGTGCGCTCAAGTTCAACAAGATCCACTTCCTCATTATATTATAGAACCTTAAATCCTATAAGTTTCATTATGATCGATAAAGCCACGTAGAGCTTGCTTTAAAAAAACATGTTTGGAATGTGAATTATGACCTGCAAGGTGAAGTATCTTCACATTCCTTAAATGTGCTCTCAAACCCAGTAACCTAAACAACACACGATGCAAATTACTGAAGCATGTACACTGGTTTAGATACATCCAAAGCTAATCCGTCAATAGGAGTATTCGAGGGGACCTGATCTATGGCGAATAACACAAGTCATAAGTCGAAGCCGGGTGGCGTGTGATAGACCTGCCAGTGTAAAACTCGATGCAATTTGACCCACTATTTAGTAATGTGATCAGTTAGCTTGCGTGCTGGTGAACCTCGTGGATAAGCACCCCATTTTGACATAATCTGTGTTCTAATGACAGGATATTCTTGTTCGCTAGAATAATGCATGTCGCATAGATATTCCCAAACCGATCTAGTGGCACTTTCGCTAACACGTTTGTCATGAGAATGCTTCCACACCTTTTTGTCACGTGAAACCAGCACATCAACACAACGTATGGTAATCAGGGGCTGGTAGTATTTTCAAAAGTAGTAAAGTTGGGTAATACTACTACCACTTTATTTTTGGTATGACTAATATTAATACCGAGGTGTACGGTATTCACTTTGGGTATTAGTATTACTCCCTCCACGCAGTTGGATATTAGCCTTACAGTACTACTTCCAGGTACCCTGATCGAGCAAGGCCAGCCCTCATTTGGCAATTTAAAATCGTGTGGCCTTCCTCCACCACTCTCAATTTGTTTCATCGGCATACCTGAACTCGAGCTATCGGACAACGGAAAATGGGGTGCGTGGTAGCGGGCTGCCACGAAGGCGACGAGCTTAGGACGGAGCCGTGTACTGTGTGTGGAAAACTGGTCCATCACATGTGCGCTATTGGTGTTTGTGAAGGGGCTGACTCCGCGCTGAATGAGAAGTAGGTGTGCCTTATTTATTGTCACGGCACGCTAATGAGCACGTATTACTATCAATACAGGTTCTGTAGTAAATCCTGCGTGCAAGTCGTGCATACAACCGTGTCTTCAAATGCCCCTCCCAATTATTCCACTGCGAAGCGAATGGGTCCATCTGTCCAGTCCACCAACATTTGGGCTGGGTTAGACTTAGACTTCGTACCCTCGCCGGACATACCCGAGGATACAGCGGTTCATCGAGCAGGAAAGCTACAAAAGCCTACAAATACTGTTGCTACCACGTCAGCTTCGAGTGGAAAGATGAAGGCCGCTCCAGTTAAGTCTGGAAAGAAGCGTCTGGAGACGCCTCTCGCGTTGCAGCTTGCACCTCCAGTGTCGGACCTTGGCGTACCACTCTCGATTACCCATGCACGAAAGGAAGGCGCATTAGATGAGGTTTGGGATCTGATTCATACACTGAACACTCCATACAAGAAGCAAAATCCTTGGAAGCAGTCGAGAGGACTGTATCGGAATATTTATGTGCTGTGCTGTCTACAAATCAAAGCTCGGACCAAGACAAACAAGTACAGTTGGGAAAATGCGCTTCGGAATACTAAGAACACAAGCAACGCGAACGATCACATCAAATCGAAGCATGCCGATCACCCATTGGCAATTCTGGCGGAGACATGTGCTACCGAGAGATCGAAGACGGACGTCGAGGCCGCAGAAGCCGATTCCCAGGCCGTATTGGACCTGACACGAGATCCGAAAAGTGCTGCTACTACTGAGGCTTCGACGGGTACTGCTTCTACTGAAGATGGTGACATTGTAAAGCCCCCCCCCATCCAAAAGGTTCTTTTGCGCAGACGAGAAGACAATGAACGTCTTGATTTCCAAGTTTCTACTTTCACAGGGTTTACCGTACACTATTTGTGCGTCTGAGACTTTCAAAGACGTCATCCGAATGGCTACCGGTAATTGCTCCTTCCAGGTATTGGGTCGAGACAGACATGATCGACTTCTCAACGGCCAATTCCAGCTGTTTTGTGACTTAGTGGGGACACTACTATCTACCGAGTTTGAGAATGCAAGTCGACTGAAGTTCCTTAATTTGATGCACGACATTTGGACCACCTGTGGGAAGGAGAGTATCGTAGGTGCATCTGTCGCTTTCATCGACAGCTCATGGAGATTTCGGCTCATTGCAGTTCTCGCCCGTGTTAAGAATGATGGCCACAACGCTGCTAGCGTCGCACACGTTATTGAAAGTGCTCTCAAAACAAGGTACAACATCGACATTCGCAGTATGACTCGATTCACAATGTCCGACACTACTCCTTCAGCAAAAAATGTGGATGACCACATTGATACGGAACAGGAGAGCTGTTCCATGCATCTTCTTAACCTGTGCATTGGCTATGGCATTGGACTTAAGGATAACATTCAGACGGTGACTGTGTGGAATGACGCGACGAGTTCCTGGGATAAAGTATTTACGACGGTAACTCCGGGGGGGGGGGGGTTCTAGACGAGGGTGGCAACGTGATTAAAAAACTCCGTCATCAGAACAATTACTTCAGATCGCCTTAACAGCGTGATGCACTGAAGAACATCCAATCGGCTCTTTCATTTCCTGAACTTGACCCTCTGACGGACGTGGACGTCCGAGTTGCCTACACGTGCAAACTGATTCGGAGATCAGTAGTAAGCTATTCGGCATTTGAAGCTTACTTTAAATCTACCAAAGACTCGAGCAGCGTGTGGACAGCCCTGAGCGCACAGGACTGGATACTCGCAGTGGAAATGGAGGCGGTTACCCACTGTATCGCCAATCTTGCGCTGGTAGAAGCTCAGAGTGAAAATCTAGTGTCGTCTTACATGGTAGTGTTCCGACGGCTTGCGGA